TGTATCTTTTCATGATGAAAATCATGCATAGATAACAGAACTGTGACTTTAGACTGTTCTAACCATAAATGTTTTGATGGTTTGTTTGGGGGGAGAGGGAATAGAGGAAAAAGATGCAATGATCCTTTGTGCTTACATTTAGAATTTGTAAGCCACTCATGCCATGGTAATATGCACAGTATTAATAGAGTTGAGGGAATATTTTTTTTTTGGGGGGGGACGGACGGAGGTGAGAGGAGTGCCTCATTCTATTTATAGAACTGTGACTTCTTTGTTTTAAGATGGGTTTTGTAACCATTACTGAGTTTCTGATCCTTCTGTTTTCTTTAAAGGAACCAGACTGAATTTCCATTCTCACTCACTCTCACCAGTTAAAGGCTTCTAAGTTGACAATTTTAACTACTATATAAACAATATGTTCTATCAGAAAAATTCCAAGTATGTCAGGTCTTCCTATTTGTTTTGTTCATTCCTGCTTTTGATAGAGAAATCATCATTGCTGTTGTCCTAGCTAAAGAACCCCAGCCCAATGAAATGCAGCCAATGAAAGTGGGGTAGAATGTTTGCCTCCTTTGGAATACAGACTGCTCATTTTTCAAATGCAAGACAAAAATATTCCTCCTTTGTCACATGGCCCTTCTGCTGTTTGCTTAAAATAACCAACTGAAATCCTGCCTCCTCTCAAAGATTTGTGTTACACCCTTCATCCTGAAGGATCTTTTTAGGTCCTCAGTATACACTGTAACAGTAATGTGTCTATAATGTAGCTTCTGCTAAACCCATTTCCTTATGGTCATTAATGCTGATGCAAGGCATATTTGAGTTGCATCAAGTGTGCTAGAAATCAGAATAGTGTTCTTTTTACAAGGATGAAGGGAAGAAAAATCTAGTAATCACCAGATGTTTTGCTCAAGGTAACTATTTCAAAAATAAGTAATTAGCCATCCCTGGAGGTAACTTCTCATAACTTTAGTATAACTATTTATTAGAGAACCGAAAACCACCAGGTCCAGCAAGGCAGAAATGACGATGATTTCATTTCTCTTCAGACCCTGTACTGTATGTGGAGCTTTGATTAGTAGCTGATGTCATTCTCATCAGAGATTTTTCAACCATAGCTGATCTGGAATCAGAGATACTACTTGAAAGAGGTGGTGATCCCTTGTAAAGCCCCAAACTGTTTTATTATCTAAACTGTCTTTGGCATTAGCAGTGAAGAAACTATAAACTGTTTAGTGAAACAAAGTGCCAGATTCATTCTTAATGGGAAATTAATTGAAGCTGAAAGGCCTTAAGTGAAAAGTGGGAAAAGGGGAATAAAGAGATCAGGAGGATTTTCCCAAGATATGTAGGATCAGATTTAAAAGGATGTGGCCTTTAAATTCAGATTTATTTTTCTATAGTGTAAATGGTACTCATAGTATTTGAAATGAAAAGAGAAAAAAAAAAACAAAATAAATTTGGAAACAGCATGAAAGAAGAGACATTATTTACCATCTTTGTTTGAGAGCAGCAAGAAGCATCCAAGATTTGTTAGAGGAACAATGGAAAGTTATAATTTATTATTAGCATAGACTCAATGTACTCTAGATTTTTCTGGGAGTTACATTTGAGATCCAAGTAGAATTCTCCCTGGATCTGCACTATTCTGTTTCACACTGAATTGAACTACAGTGAAATCTTTGTCATACAACTACTTAAGGGACTGACAAAAATTGGTCTTTTTAAAGATGGTGGCCTTTTAATAAAGGTGGTCAAGAAAGTTGCTTGGATAACTGACTGGAATCCCATACAAGATGAAATTATATTGACTAGATAAAAATTGTTTGTTTGTAGAACATTTATTTATTATAAAACATTTCAATTTCAAAGACTTCATATTAAGTGTCTTTTTTATTAACAAGATAGAAAGCCATTTGTAGCTGAAACATTGATCTGACTGACAGTTATCCTAGTCACAGGTGACATACATAAGTAAAGTGTATTATATTTAATTGCTGTCTGGTGTTTCATTATAAAAACGTAGAGCAGATCTCTGTAAAGTGAAGTGTCTTCTATGGAAAAAAAACAGTCTGGATACAGTCTCTACCATGTATGCCTTATGACTATTTAAGTAGTTCAGCTGTTTCTTCTGGGACCAGTTGTGAACGGTCTCTGGTTGCTTTGGATGGGTAAAACAGAGAATGTCAGTTTAAAATGCTAGGTGCTGTTATGGAATGGCTGCTTGGAGCAAGGTGCTACTTAATAAAGGATTTTAACACAGATTTCTCTATGCTTGAACTGTATTAAGTAATACTTATTGTTGTTGTTTATATTGTACTATGAGTCATCAAAGAGGGTTGGGGAAAACATGATACAAACGCACAGGAAGACGTGATCCCTGCCTTGAAAAGCTTACAACAAGTGAGTGTAACAGACAATAGAAGGGAAGGAAGACAAGGGTTTATGTAAGGTCAGTTATATAGATTAGCCACTTGCATGACTTCATGCTTCTGGGTTATTTACAAGTTTTTTGCAATATTCCCTGCATAAATCAATAGTAGTCATCAGTTGGCTAATTTCTTGTAGGGGTAAGTATCACAATAAATGGGGTCTTGACACAGGATTTGAGACCTCCTCCAATTTGAAGGAGGAGAGGATGTGTTGGCCTTATCGATTTCTTCAAGAAGGATGTTATATGCTTAAGGGTCTGCAGGATAGAAAACTTAGAGATGTTTGTGGGAGACACTGATGTTTCTGGGAGAAGTTGGAAGGTGGATGTTCAAGGGTAGCATCGCTGGCAAAGCAGAGGGTGTGTGAAGGTTGTGATAAATGGAAAACAAAGGCCCTTATCATGCAAAGATTTATGCACATGCTTAACTTTACATATCCTAAGTTGTCCCCCAACTTCATTGAGACTTTCAGCAAGTAAAGTTAAGCACAATCAAAAGGTATTGCAGGATCAGGGCGATAAGGAAGAACAAGTGATGGCTTACCAGCCACTGTATTAGCTCAGACATACCCCCTATGACTTCTCTCACCTTTATTTTATTCAATTCAAAATAGCAAATGTAATGTTCTAGGGAAAGGGGAAAACAACTTCGGAAGAGTAAGAAAAGATCCCACCAGCCATTTCCTGTGAAATAATTATTCTAAATCCAAATAAATAGCAAATAATAATCGTGAATAAATCTGAGATGGAATAAATTGTGCTGGGAAATCACCATGCCCGGTATGCCTTGTTAGGTAATCTGCCAAAATCTTATGATATTCCAATATGTCAAGTATCTTATTGCACTTATTTAAAGACCATGTTCAAATATTTAAAAATAAACTAGAACAAATGATTTATTAATTTTTATCCACGAAAGTACTACTTCCAAAGTATTTGGATTTTAGAAAGGGATGGGGACAGTGGAGGTTTGGGCAGCTCCAGGAGTCCATTGGATTCATGGCCATAATGCTAGCTGGGAACAAGTCTGCCATTATCATCACTCTCATAATCCTGGAGTAGGAAAGTTCTGTTGGGGCAGGGTGTCTCCACAACTGGGTACTCACAGCTAAATCAATTTCCCTGAAAAGGGGGATGGAAAAGGCTGGTATATTTAAATAGGGCTGCCTCACTTTAGTCCCTGTCAACATTTTTTTCCCCTGGAGCAATTGCTACTGCCAATCTGTGGTCCCAAAGCTAGTCAATGCAATGTTGGGATGCACGAGTAGCTACCATTGTGGTTGTTAGCAGGCTTAAAAATCTTCAGTATATCCATGTGATATATGAGTGGGAGCAATCACAAAGTTCCCTGTCCCAACCCCAAAGATTTTATTTTTCTCTAGGAACGGAAGAAGCAGAGAATATTGTGTTAGGTAACCTGTGGCAGCCAAACAAATTATTCCTAACTCATTTTATGAGCCAGCTCTATAAAATATTATCACTCTGCTCTAAGAATGTAACATCTGAGAGATAGTAGTACTATTTAGAATTATGTCTCTCCATGAGATGGGACCTCTATCATCCTAGAGAGGCAAGAAAGAAATCCCAGGTCCTACAGCCTGGATCATCTTACTCTTTCCATTAGAGAAGTGAGTTTCCAATCAATCTGACTCAGACTAAGAATTGTGGACCATCTTTACAATTGAATCTGGAGATTGTGAAACCCTATTCTTGGAAGTTCAGCCTGCCTTTTTCCTTAGCCAACAGGGCCTCAATTAGAGGATTAGAGTGAAAATAAATTTAGGAGTTGTCACTTACTCCTTCACAGGTGGTATTTAGGATCTCTGAGAAGACCGATAGAGAAGCAACACAAGTCAAAATTCTGCCCTTGGGCTCAGTAGACTAAACTTCATTGACTCCGGGAAGATAAATCACTAAACATATTATATAAAAATAGAGTAGGAAAGATCTATAAGTACAGTGTAAATTGGATTGTTAAAGGAAATAAGGGGCCAGATTGTGATCTTAGTTATGTAAATGAAAATCCAGAGTAATTTCCAGAAGTCAGATGAGCTATACTGAATTTACTGAATAGTGTTCAGGAGATGAAAATTGTTAGTTTAGAGCTAGTTTGGCAGAGCGGAGTGAGCATACCAGATGGAATATGCTGCACTTTTTGAAACAGTGTAGTGGCAGATGGCAGAATTCTTTTGGAGCTCCAGGTGAGGTAATGTGGCTCAATACCAATGTCAGGGGATGCCTGACTGGCATGAGGCAGGTCTTAGTAACTGAGGGGAGTGAGGAAGCAAAGCTTAGAGGGTGAGGTTCAGTAGTTAGGGGAGTCTTTTTGCTCCCCATCTGTAAATTGGGGATAATATCACTTTCCTTGCCTCTCAACATGTTATGAGGATAAGTACATTAAAGATTGTGAAGCATTCAGATGGTACAGTAATAGGTGCCATATAAGTATCTAAGATGTTTAACTGTGAGAAAAGGGGGAGTCTTTGTTTAGCTTTTAGTGTTTAAACAGACTATCAGTTAAGGAAGGAGTGGCTTTTATTACAAACACAAGGAAAAACAAACATCAGCTAGAGCAACATTTCTCAACAGCTGGTCCATGGACCCGTGCTGGTCCCTGAGATCTCCCTGACAGTTTAAGAAGGCAGCATGCCAGCCGCTGGTATCAAAAAAGTTGAGAAATGCTGATCTATAGAGTTTAACTATCTCAATCTATGGCATGGGTAAAGAATTTGTTGTCTTTTAGCTAGCCAAAGTGGCCTTTTTTTCAAAGTGTATATTTGTGGCAGGGGAGAAACAGTTTATTACATTTTTCTTATCTAGTATTTTATCGACAGCTCTCTGACCAATTGGGAACTGTTGTGTACTGAATGAGGTGGGGAAATGATACTGCTGAAAAGAAATGCTGTAGTGAAGAGCAATGCTGTCAGCTGGAGAGCCAGGCAGAGAATGACAGACCACAGAATCCTCCAGAGTCTTCAGCCAATGATATCATTACATTCCAGTGCTATAGCCCCAGCAGAGAAGACTACTGTATAATACAGAAAAAACTAATGAACATATTACAGTTTTAAAAGTACATACACTTTTTAAAGGAGAACTGCACATTTAGAAATATGGTAGTAGCACAAACATTTTCATTAACATTTTCTGGCAGGATCTCCCCTTGCTCATTACTGTTATCTAGGGTTCTGCCTCTTTCTTGTTGTCATAGGGATTGCTCTTGAGAACTAGAGATGCTATGGAGTTTTGGAGAAATAAAAGTAATTAACAGTATCATCATGCAATAATCAATTACTACGAAGATGCCATTCTAATTGTTTTTCAGGTGGGAAACTGAGGCACAGAGCTGAAGACATTTCCTACACTCCAGCAATAAGACTGTTAGAGCTGGTAGGAGAGCACAGGTCTCCTGGCTCTAGTTTTGTGCTCATCCACAGGACCAGGGCTCACCCTTTATCACTCTCTTTCTTGACATCTTGGCTGTAGCACTTCACCTTCCTGCCTGTCTACAGTGAGGACTTCTACATTTTTAATGTTATGGGCTATATTACCAAAAGGGCCCAGTTTTCAAAACTAGCTACTTTTCTAATGTACAAGTTTTGAAGCTTGCAGTTATGGTCACTTGTGGTTTTGGGTGCTCCAGGACTGAGATGCACAGAAAAACAACTGTGCATGTAAATTGAGTAGTTGGACACTTAGCTATCTTATGTGAATGTCCAAAGACTTTTTATGGGTTCAAATCCATTATTTTGGGGCATCTAAGATAGCTGAAATTTATGCCTGGGTCATGGGAAAACCTAAATGCATAATTACTAGGACTGTTCACAGGTTTAAGTTTTTGAAGGACGAGGGTGCTATGTGGCAAGTTCAATTCACTTTGGAAAGTTCTCGCTGAATGGAGAAGTTGTGTCTTGTCTCTGATGCAGCTGTGTTGCAGGAGAGTCAGAGGGAGGCAGGAGAAGATTCCTGTAAGAAGGACCTCAAACTGGGACTATTAACTGAGTGACATTTTTGGAACATCGGTGAAGGCAGGTTTTCAGTGTCTCACTGAAACTCAGTCCAGAATCCTTCACATCATCATTAGAGACATAATTTAAAATGTACAAGTCTCACTCCAAATGGGTAAATAAACAGAACATCTGCACATCATACCTTTTATGTACCAGTTTGCTGGGAGCTCTTTTAATCAATACTAGATATTGAGAAATGGCATTCAACACTGCTACCATGTCTGCCCTCCAGAGGAAGTTGTAACTAAGCTACTCAAAGACCTGTCCGAGCATGCAGTGTAAAATCTGGGAATGTTTCTTTGGCAGTTGTTCCAAGTCCTGTTTAAAAATCTAGATAGAATCCTCTGAGGACATTACATAGACATACCTAGATACACATCTCCACAGCTCAGAGAGCAAGTGGTCCTGAAACCATTGCCAGGATAGGTCTCTCGGCAATGTCTCATGAGCAATACTTCACCATCCTGCTTCCCAACAAGATAACTAAATTGGGAGCTCCTCCCCTCTATTTTTAAAATATAAACTTACAGGCACAATACATTTGAATATGATTCAACAATGTGATGCAGTTGTGGAAAAGGCTAATGTTCTCAGGTGTATTAACAGGAATATTGTATGAAGGATACTCATGGTAATTCTCCCACTCTAATTGGCACCGGTGAGGCCTCAGCTGAAGTATTGTGTCTAGTGCTGGGCTCCACACTTCAAGGAAGATGTGGACAAACTGGACAGAGAGCATAGGAGAACAGCATAAAGGATGACATGTTTAGTTTTGAGAAAACAAGACTGAGGGGACCTGATAAGTCTTCAAATATGTAAAGGACTGTTATAAAGAGGAGGATGATCAATTGTTCTCCATGTCCACTGATGGTAGAACAAGTTGTAATTGGCTTGAACTGTGGCAAGGGAGACTTAGGTTTGATATTAGGAAAAACTTTCTAACTATAAGGATAGTTAAGCACTGGAAGTTAAGAACTTGGAAGGGAGGTTAAAAAAAATCTCCAGTCATGGGGATTGTATAAGAAGAGGTTAGACAAATACCTGTCAGGGATGGTCTAGGTATACATGGTCCTGCCTATGCAGGGGGAGGGAAGGTTGAGCTAGATGACCTCTTAAGGTCCCTTACAGCCTACATTTCTTTGATTTCATGACAGACAGCTGAGCTAGAGATGAGTAGGAACTTAAGGCATAGTGCTGAGGAGATAGATAAGAGATCAGCCTTGACAAAATGATGGAGGGGTGAAGAAGTTAAGACTGCATATGTGGTTAGGTGGTACATAGGAAAACCGAGCCAGGAAGGAGTGATTTTTGAATAAACAAAGATCAAATATGTGTTAGAGTTCAGTACATGTAGTATCGTTATTTGTTTTGACTGAAATAGCACTTCTTAGCCCCATTTGATAAGTCATTTATCTTGCTTCAAATGATAACACATGGAATAAAATTAAAACAGAAGTTATGTACATTTTTATCTGTCAACAAGACGTACATTAAGATGTCTTCAGAAAATCCTGTGCTGTGGTTAAGTGGGAGGGCACTAATAATTTTTTTTTCTGAAGTAGTTCAGTGAACAGAAGTAGAATAGCTTCAGCTTATGCCATGATAATGACAAGGATATCAGCAATATTTAAGAATTCCCTAATAATAATAATAATAATAATTAATAAAGCAATAATAAATAAATAATCACCATGAAAATGTCAACATTATCAGATTTACACAGTGGTACCTGATGAACAGCAACTGTTCATTATATGAGGCATAAGTGGAGATTGTGGCAACTCTGGTATGACTTTGTGATAACTGTTGGCAAATAATGACCTCTTAATAAAAATAAGTTCTTACGTAGCACATATCATCAGTAGATCTCAAAGTGCTTTACAAAGGAGGTCAGTATCCTTATTAGAGATGGGGAAACTGAAGTGCAGAGAGGTGAAGTGACTTATCCCAAGCTAGCCTTCAGGCTAGTAGAACAATCAGGAATACAAGCCAGGTCTTCTGAGTCCCAGTCCAGTGCTCTAACCTTCAGGCAATATTGCCTCTCATTGAAAGCAATTAAATCGATGGGAGCTGGTTCATATTTGCTTCTGAAAATCCAACTATGTACCTATCTGCATTGTTAGGGCCAGATTCTTAATTATGCAACTAACTGCCTAAGTCCCTTTAGAAGATGGGACTTAGGATCTCAAGTCACTTGGAACCTTTTGAAAATGTTACCCCTACTCTAGTTTAACCAAACGTTATTGGGTTTGATGCAGAAATTATTGGATGAACCTTAAAGCCTATGTAGCTAGCAATATTGATATTTCTTGGGAAAAAAATTCAATCTCCAAAGCTTCCTCTTCACTTTGGACTACTGTAGACTTTTTTTCTTCTTGCTCTTCTGTAGCTGTGCAGCACTACTGAATTACTTTTGAGAAAGCAAATGCAAATCCACGTTGGGACTCCAGAAAAGAATGGAAGGAGGTGTGTTAATAATGACTTCTGCAGAGAGTAAGGGGAGAAGAATGACATCCATTAAGTATCTTTAACATGAAACAATGTAGCAACCAGTTTGGAAGCGGGGCTATTGGAAACCCTCTCTGGGCTTTTAACTCATATTTATACAATGAATCAATGTCAGCATTTGACATTTAAGTTTGTAGGTTTCAATTAAACTCCTGGTTTAATGACATTATCTACTTCATTATTTAAAACAGGGTCATTAATTTCACTGGCGAAGTGAATTAAACTGTGTAATAATTAACTAGATAAATAATTTCATATGTGCACCCACAATTTTCTCATTCCTCCAAAATCTCTCTTTTTCTTCTGTCTCGGCCATGGAGATAATTTTCCATTTACTGTACTTTCAAGCAACTCCAGCTAGTACAATATATCTTGGTAATAGATTTCTCCCCCCCCCCCAGTAGCTCTAATTTAAACTGCATTTGAGCTACTAGCTGCATTTTATGTTTGATAATAAATGATCACAGTTCATGAAATTTTCTTAGAAAATGAAGAGCCTGATTCTCCTCTCACTTAGGTGCTCATACACCATGGTAATGAGCATGGAGTAAATAATGATTCATGCTTATTACTTCTGTGGAAAAACAAGTAGGCGTCTGGGCATGATTCTGCTCTTACTTAAACAGGCGTAAATCAGAAGTTACTCCATAAAGTCAAGGGAGTTACACTATTGCAAAAGTAGTATAAGTCAGATCAAATTGAGGCCAATTTGATCACTTGTCAGAAATCTCAAATACAGTGAAGAATGGATCAAAAGTGGGTCACTAGTTGTTGTGATGAATTATATTCAAGTTTTCACTTTTATTGTGAAAATCGTTGCAGGAAAATCCAGGAGTTTCCTCTCCAAATCTTTTTAAAATGAGACATATTTGTTTCCTTTTTTACTCAACCACAAGATGCAGTGGTTTGGCAGAAGAAAATGCAGATGAAATGGTGTAAATTTCACTTTCAATTGAAGTCAGTGGGTGTCTTTCCATTAACTTCCTGGGGAGCTTGATTGAGCTGTTAGCTATGTGAAGGGAAAAAAATATATAAAGACTGACTGCAACCCATCCTTGGTTTGAAATTTAACCTTTCTGAATAGATGCAGGGGAAAAAGGATAGGGAGATCACCCTGACTCCTAACAGGAAATTCCAGGAAGACAGGTAGCTTGTAAAAGAGTGACAGGAAAAGAGAAAGGAGCAGATTATTAGTATTTTGACAATAATAGTTAGATAGAAATATGTACGTTAGTATTGTACAATACTAATTACAGTATAAAATGTTCATTCTACCCATTGTTAATTATGTATTGTATTAAATAATATTGTGGATAGCTTTAGGAAGACTATGGTATCAAATAGTGATGAAAGTATTTTATCCATACACTGATCAATTGAAAGGACAGGGATTTTGAGAAGCAACATGGATTAATGTATTAAGTATGTGTCTAGTAGTTCGAAATGCATGCTTAATTTTGGATCTTCTCCTGACATGCTATGTGGTGGTAGACGAGTCATTTAACTTGCCCATGTCTTTCACCATCTATAAAATGGAGGGAAATAACCCACTTCACAAAAGCATGGTGGGGTTAATTAAATACTGTTTGAAAATAGCAAGTACTACATAAATGCAACTGCTTTGTTACTTTTAGGCTGGCTTCTGCCACCGCTTTGAGCACGTAATTCCCAGTTAAGTCAATTGGAGGTTTGCCTGCACAGGGACTTCAGAAGTGGGTGAATCACAACTTACCCACAATGACAGTTTAATGTTCCCAGCTGACATTCAACTAAGTATCAGCAATAGAAGGTGGCTTTTTCAGGAAATGGTGTTAGAGGTAAGATCATGTGAAGTCTGATAGTTTTCTTCGATTCATAAATTAAGGGTGAAAGGGACTATTTTACGATCATCTAACCTGACAGGTATAACACAGACAATAGAATGTCACACAATAATTTGTCTTACGTCTTTGTCTTGTGATTGAGTTACAGAATATCTTTTAGAAAGCAATCCAAATTTAATTTAAACACTTCAAGACCATATCCCTTGGTAAATTCTTCCAACACTTAATTACCCTCTCTTTTGTGCCTTATTTCTAACCTGAATTTTTGAAGCTTCAGCTTCCAGCATTGGATCAGAATATGCCTTTGTCTGTCAGATTAAAGAGCCCTTTACTATTAGAAAATTTCTCTACTTACAAGTACTTATATACCATGACCAAGTCATCTCTGCTATCTCTTGGATAGGCTAAATAGATAGAGCTGTTTAAGTCTCACTGTAAGGCAGTTTGCCAAACCTTGAGTCATTCTTATAGCTGCTTTCCAAGTTGTCTACATCTTTTTAAAAGTGTGGACATCCTAACTGGACACAATAGACCATTAATGGTTTGACTAATCCTGTATACAAAGGTAATACCATCTCCCTATTCCTACTGGATATTTGCCTACTTTTATGTCCAACAGTTGCATTAGTCCTCTTAGGGTACATCTACACTACAGGGGGGAGTCGATTTAAGATACGCAAATTCAGCTACGTGAATAGCGTAGC